CGGCTGCAACTACAACTCCCGGCGTGCCCCGCGCGGCAAAGGGGGCGGGGCGGGGTCTCTGCCGGCGGGGCGCGCGCACAGCCCCGCGGTGGCTGCCGGGAAAGGGATGGCGGCGGCGGCAGAAGGATCTCTTCAGCCCTGTTGAGACCTGGCTGGGGCTGTGGTGAGTCTGGGGATGAGCTCGGGGGCTGCGGGGAGCGCGGCTGTGGGCGGGAAGGCTGGAGGGCTCGGCAGAGTGGAGAGGAGGGGCTCGAGAGTTCCCGAGGAGGTTTTGAGGCCCGTGAAGCGATCTTAGGGGGTCGCGAAAGGGGATTTGGTGTCCTGAGGGCGCTCAGAGGGGAGGGTGAAGGTGCCTGAAAGGGTTTAGGGGGTCCCTGAAGGGGCTGGGAGCCTTGGAACCCTCCTGGGGAGGCGGGGGGGCTGTTTAAACGCCATGGCTGCACTGCGCAGGCGCCGGCGGAGTCCGCATGAGCGAACTTCAACTCCCATTAGGCTTTGCGCGGCGCCGCCATTGCCGCTCGTGCCACAGCGCCCCCTGCCGGCTGGGCGGACCGACCGCACAGAAAGCGTTTCCTGATGCTCCCCCCGAACCCCAGAGACCCCCAAAACTCAGCACACAGAGACCCCACAGGAGGTGAGGCTCGGAGGTCCCCAAAGCCTATCAGTGGTGTCCAGGGGGTCCCCCAGGCTCAGGGGAGGGGCCCTGGCAGTGCCACCCAAAATCTTTGCAGGGAGATGAACCATATCTGGGTTAGGGGATCCCAGTGCCCCCAGTATAGCCCAGTGACCTCCCAGTGGCTCTCAGTATGGCCCAATGATCCTCCAGTGAGCACCCAGTAACCTCCGGTATGGTCCAGTAACCTCTCAGTGTCCCTCCGTGTGTTCTGGTAATTCTCTAGTAATCACCCAATTTCTCCCAGTACCCTCCCAGCATCCCTCAATAACCCCCCCCAGTCCCTCCCAGTGGCCCCTCGTTCCCCCAAGTGTGTCCCACTATACCCCAGTAATCATCCAGTGCCCCCCAAAGCCCCCCAAGTGTCCCCAATGTGTCCCCAGATGCCCTTGGGCTTTCTATGAGTGTGGGGGGATGGGGGGGCCTTCTGGGGGGAGACGGAGGGTTGGGGACATCAGGGATGGGGTTTGAGGACAGTGGAAAGGGGGGGTTTCAAGGGGGAATTACGGCCATGAGGAGGCCCTGGGGACACTGGAGACACCAGGTGTGTCTCGGGGTGCCAAGTGGGAAATTGAGGTCACCAGGAGGTTCTTGGGGACACCAGGGGGGTCTCAGGACTCACCTGCTCATGGTGCTGCCCCTTCTCTCCCCACCAGGCCCCAATAAGGCCCCCCAAATGTCCCCTAACCCCCATTTTTCCTTTAATTCCCTCCCCCCCACCCCGATCCCTTTGACCCCTCAATGCTCCCAAGACCCCTTTTAACTCCCTCAAATGCACCCAGAGGCCCCCAAAATGCCACAAATCCCAATCAAAACCCCCAAAGAGGGATCACCTGTCACCCTGAGACAGGAAAACAGTGGGCTGTACTGGGGGCACTGGGCTGTACTGGGAGAGCCCCAATCCCCAAAGCCCCTCCCCTGGGCATCCGTGCCACGCTCTGGGAACCACGGCGGGGTTGGATCAAGGGGGGCACTTGATGATCTGGGAGGTCTTTTCCAAGCCGGCTGATTCTGGGATTCTCTGGGTGCCATGGCCAGGGCAGCACATGCTGGAGGCTCTGTCCACAGGGGATAGATGTGTCTGTGCAGACAGACAGACAAGGGCAGTCTGCAAAGATATGGGGTTAGAAAAGCAGGAGAAGTTGTGGGGTGGTTCTGGCAGCAGGAAGAAGCCCCCAGGCCAGTGCAAGCAGGCACCCCTGGGCTTGCCCATCATCTGCCCTCCCTGCAGGT